AAATTCTATTGTGATATTCAGTGATATTAAACTGAATTCAGTTTCATTTTTGAAAGAAGTAGAAAGGAAATCTCCTTAAACTTTCTTAGCATAGCTATTTCTTTCTTAAATTCTGTGGTAATTAAAAGCTGAATTTAGCCTTTTATGACTGACCTTCTAATTCTTCTCTCAAAGATCCCTGTGCATAACTTTGCTCTATATTTATTTAAAATCCTATTCCTCAGGGTATCCAGAGCAGAAGCCCTAGTAAATACCTGAGAGCAGTGTGTCCTCTTGGGATCCTGCATCTTGAGCATCCCAAATATTATCTGTCTTTTGCTCCACCTCTTTAGTAGCATTCCTGTTTCATCAGCTAACATGAGGGATCAAGAGGCAGCCCTGGAGTAATTCCACAACTTTGAAAGCAGAAATTTCTTTTACATAAGCTTTATTTTTCAGCCACTGAAACATGGCTGACCTGAAAAAGCAGGAAATATTCCGTTTTTCTTTATAATTTATATACCTTAGCAACTTTTATTTCATTCAGAATACTCCCTGAGTTTATTTGTGAGCTGCTAAGTTGTGGTACCTGGAAATATATACTTTTATCTCTGAATGTTTGCTCATTGTGTTGGTGATGTATTTGTACATGCAGTTTCCCCAGCCTGCTGTAAGTTACATAGTGAAATATTGAAATATCTCATGCATCAATACTGGGATAAATGAACTTGAGATTACAAATCTTGTAGTTTTTCTGCATATTGGATGAAAAGACAAAAACATGCAGACAAGTCTGTCCTGCAACAACAGGACTTTCAGAGACAGGACTATGATTCAAGTAAGTCCCTCTGAACAGATTTGTGTAAAATTTTGGAAAAAATGTACTTTTAGCAGGATGTTCAATATGTAATAGGATCATTTAATATTTGAGCTTCTAGAATAGTAGCTTAAATGCTTGAAGGTCAAAGTTGTATCCTGTGGGCTTTCTAAATTTCCATATTTATCTGCCTGGTGCATCTATCCAGCACCCCCGATTCTTTGGGTAGATCCTTGATTGCTTTTTGCAGTCAACTGGATCAAAGTCTATGCAGCATGAAACGTGTAGATGCAGTTTATGAATCGTATCTTCTGTATTACCCATTGGAAATGTATCCCTTCACTTCCACTCGCTGGGAAACAACTCTTCTGGTGTTAGGAGTAATAGCTGAAGGAACAGAAATGCGTAAAAAGAAGCACAGGCAAGGGCATAGAGAACCAAAGTGTTACTTTGCATTGTGACATTGTTTCACAGTTGTCTATTTTTTCCTTAGTTTGTAGGAGTAGGAGAAACAATATTACACTTAAAAGAAGAATTCTGGGACTTCAAGCATACTTTAATTTTTGAATATGTAACCTAAAAGTTCTATTTTGTAGATATGAGGATAAATCGCTATTTCTGCTTCATTGAATGTGACTTTAGTGGTTGTCTTTTTTTTGTCAGACTTCTGGTACCAAGATCTGTCATCATTGCATGTTCTTTTTCTATGACTCTAGCTAGCCCTTTAAACCTACCCCCAGGTTTGTGGAATAATTATGAGTACAAGAAGCCAAAAATATGACTTAAGATTAGCCTTGAAGTCTGCTTCAAAGAGCTCTGGCCAGCAGCACTCTTATGGTTTTGGAAGAAGATTATAAAGTTGTGGTAGGGACATACACCTCTATTGTCAAGGCAAGGGCCACCACAGCCTAACTCCGGCTCTGTGCCTTCTGTTGTAGCTGCAACCAAGGACACCCTGCTGTTTTTCCAATTCCACCAGCACCAGGAAGCACAAGAGGAGCCTACACTGGGTGGCCCAAAACAGTGCATGAAAATAGCTGAGGTTGCTGTGAAAGAGCAGGTCAGGGGATGAGTGCCAGTTCAGCTGCTTTGTTGCAGCTCTGCGCCTGCACAGAGCAGAGTAGGGCAGCTGCAGACAGGTAAATTAGTGCAGTAAAAAACAAAAATTGAAAAAGAAAAAGACGTGCTGCTTGTTATTCAGCTTTTGTGTGGTTTGTACAAAATCTGTTGTGATGCTTTGTAACTTTGAGGCATCTTCTGGAGAGGCACAGATTCCTGTGTGGAATGTCAAGTGGTGATCTGCAAGGAATCTGTAATTTTGTGAGCTGCTTTTCTCTTCAACTAGCTCTTCTCTATTTGACCAGATTAGGAGAAGTAGATGTCTTCAGAACAAAAATAACAGAAAATTTATGGTAATGGTAAATTATGAGGATGCTGACACTAAGTATTGGACTGCAAGGTGGAAAGGGACAGAAGAGTCCAAGTCTTCTGGATTAGAGGTGAATTGGTACCTTGGTCTGAGCCTTCCCAATCTGTGGTCATATCCTCAGAATGTACTGTATATTTCCCTTTCCAAAGGAAGGAAGTATAATAATTCCAGCACTGAGAACCAGTACTATTGGAAATGCTTCCATAATGTTCTTAGGTAAAACAACAGATGCCTAAGCAAAAAAGCAAGCGTGGCAGTGCTCCTATTTGTGAAGGTCTGAATAAGTCTGTTCAGCAAAAGCAAAATTTAGAACATGTACTCAAACTACCAGTCTGTTTTGTGCTTATGTGCAAAGAACATGCTAAACAGAGATATGACACCCAAATACTCATTTGCCAGTGGAAAAACAGCCCCAAGTTAATACGTGGAAACAGTTGTACATCTCCAATGCTAAATGAGCAGGAAACATAAACAAGACTAAACAAAAATTAGCTTGAAACCTATGATGCCATGGCAAAGAAATGACAGTATAAAACACAGAGGTAGCTCTTCAGTATCATTTTATTATATCCACACCTTTTCAACAGAGGCTTCTCATATTGTCAGTTCCATCTTTTGCTAGCAAATGATGAAGCATGATAATCTGTCAAATCACGGGTAGTAAACTGAATAATAATATTTAAAAGGCTCCCTCTTTAAAAAAGAAAAAGAAAAAAATTTGATGCTGATAATAGCAAAATCAATCTTTTAAGGAGGGGTTGCAAATATGTTTTTTCAGCTGCGGAAGTTTCTGCAAAGTTACCTCTTTTCACAGTGACAAATTAATTACGTAAAATTGGTACAAGTCTTATTTTTCTTTTTCCCTATTTATTAGGGCTGTTCTGGAATATTAAATCTGCATATAACTACTGCAGAATTTTCCTCCTCATTGATACTTTGTTTTATATGGAATATATTTTTACATCATTTAAAAATATTGCTCTCTGCAAAACACTTTTATACTCTATTTTTCATTCGCATTCCAAATAATTGCTGTAGGGTTTTCTTATTCTTAGCAAAAGGAGATAGATCCCCAAATGTATTTCCTTTCGTTTTTCTTTCTTCCTTCTCCCCTGTGTAAACACTTTTATAAAAGTAGATTTAACAAAAGACCATTCACTATAAAAAACTTCCTCAGCAGTGATATGATACACCACACACCCACTTGTGTAGTCTTTATCAATAACAACAGAAACAGTGTCAAGTGATAAAAATATATGTGATTTAAATCAGCCATTTTGGGAGTATATTTATTCAAGACCCTTCAAGCGGAGATGAATAGCAGGTTTCTAAATGTGGTGTTATGAGGGTAAGCAAATGAGTCACTATTTGTATTCTAGAGCAATGGAGTTGGGCAAGAACAACACTGCAAGAGGGAATAAGCAGTCGCATCTAACTGTTTATTCTATTACATCCATCACCACAGGGTGTATCTGTGCATGTGAGGTCAAGGTCAGTGATCCTTGCTCACATGAATCATTCTCAGAGCTAATGAAAAACACCCCTGGTGCAGCATGTTGGAACACCAGCAGCTCCAGCAGACTTCTGGCACTCCTGCCTCGCTTGTGCGAGCCACAGTTCACAGGTGAGGCAGAACGGTGGCCGTGGGGGACATCCGGGGCTCGGGATGGATGAGAGCTCAACAGGGGCTGTTGGTGGAGATGGGCATTAGGAAGAAGGAGGATAATTTTTGACTGGAGGACAAAGCAGTGCTGCTGTGGGCCAGCTGTGGCTCCTTCACACCTTGGCTGTTTGAGTTTCAAAGCTGAAGAGTCTTTCAAAATGAAATATTAATTTAAATATCGCAACCTGGATCTGAGTTAGTTTCCATATAAAGTTTTAAAATGATGATAACAAATCCTAATTATCTTTCTCCACAAGTTTCTTGAAGCCAAGGAAACAGAGATGGAATATAAGGGCACATGAAGATGGGTTTGTTTTTCTTCTCTCTCCCTCCTCCTCTTTTAATCAGTGCAAATTCTGCATACATTTTCTCTGTATTTCTGTGTCCATACAGAAAGAAGGATACATTTTGTGGAACTGCTGGTCACACATATATATATGTGTGTATGAAAAATGAAAAATCAACCATGGAATAACTTTTCAGGGCTGCTGCAGTCACTACTGTAATTTGATATACAAGCGGATTTATTACTAAGATTGCAAACCAAAGTTATGCGCATTATGTTTCTTGCACTGCAGTAATCCTTCTACAGAAATTTTGGCCATCCCTCGCCAAAGCCAGGGAAGGAACTCGATGGCCGGAGGAGTCCCCGGGACTCTAGCGAGGAAGAAGAGGGTGCTCCGCGGACGTGAGGGAGGGAGGGAGGGAGGCAGGCTGTTGTCTCACCACACATGGTCTTGTGGGAAGTGGGAATCTCAGGTTGAGTTACTCATCGGTATGGAGTCAGGAGTGTGCACAACCAATGATTTTGATGGCAGGAGGTAACGTACACATGTTTTTCAGGGAAGGTGCTGTAGGAGGACTTGCCGGCGGGCAGGAGGAGGTTTGTGCCGAGGGCTGTCATTTCCCAAGAGCGGAATTCTTCTCATCCCAGGAGCGCATCACCGCCGCCTCGGATGCTCTCCCTCCCTACGGTACGAGCAGGGGGCTGGCGGCGCACGGACCCGGCCGGGCAGGGGGGGCGGGCGCCGTCCCCAGGGCAGCTCCCGGCGCCCCGGGGAGCGGGGCGGGCCCCCGCGCTCTCCCGCCGGGATCGCGGTGCCGCCCGCGGCATGGCCGGCGCGCTGGGCAGGGGGGCGGCGTGCTGGCGGATGCGGAGCGCGGCGGGCGGCAGGAAGGAGAAGCCGCCGGGCGCCAAGCCCCAGCCCCGGCACGGTAAGGGGGCGGCCGCGGCGGGGCTCGGCGGGGCGCCCACCGAGGTGGGACCGGAGCCCCGAGGTCCGCGCGGGGCAGCCGCGAGGCCAACTTGCCTGACACTTGTATTACCCGCTCGGTCCCCCTAAGGGCAGGGGGATCCTTTTCTCCTTTCCCGTCCGCGGGTGCGGATGGAGAGGAGCTCCCTGCTCCCAAATTCCGCCGAGCTGCGTCTTATTTCTTTTATTTGCAGAGGCGAAAGGAGAGGAACGGTGTTCGCGCGCGTTTTGGCATCTTGCTTTGACAGCGGCTTCTTTGATAATTTTTGCAGAAAGCATTTCTCGTCTGGCAAACGCCAGTGAACCTGAGAAGAGTCCCCGAAATCTCTTTTGGCTTTTACGATCTTAATGCCCGGAAAGCACTGTTGAAAATATTGCCCTGTGTGCTGTTATCTCCTCCTCCCTTACTTCTTCGGGGAGACAGATGCTCTCTTTGATGGCTGAACAGCACACAGACAGTTCTCCCAAAATCAGATCCTGACTTTGAAGACATAGAGCAGAGTGGTGTTCCGCGAACTATTGAAAGAAGTGTTGAGGTTCATGACCCTTGTGTACTAAACACTGAATGCAGTTTACCCAGAGCCAAAGCTGTCATGTACGGTTTCTTTACTGTACTGCTTGGCTGTCACTGCTCTCTGCTTTGAGGAGCAAACCCAGCTGTTTGTGGATCTGGTTGCAATGTCTGGATATCTCACTAGAATTTGTTCTTGTTGTGTGTTCCCCCTTGGGTTTTAAATCCACTATTCGGGTAAGTGGGTTTGTAGAGGTCACTGACCTAATCCTTTAAGGGTAAAGTAACAGCTTAAGTTGTGCTTGTGTTCTGCGTCAATTTGCGTTTGTATGTTGTTGTTTATGTTAGTCTCTAAAGTAACTTTGTGTCTTTTCCTGAGAAGCTAATTTGGCTGAAGGAGTAATTTGTACTCTTTAAGTCCAGGGGTTGCTGTAGCTCATTCAGTAATCTTGATGAAAAAATGTTGGGATGATGGGGAACTTGGTACCTCAGGTGTTGGCATTTTGAGAAAATGCTTGCTAAGCAAGTGATACACTCAAATGCAGGTGGGAAATGAAAGTAAACTCAGTGTTTCTTCCATTGACTGTCACCTGGATGTTTCTGAGCTGGAGTGATTCTGCAGCAGCATCTCCTTTTCCATTTTGCTTCCTTGTGCCCCTTTCACAAGTCAAAAGAGGGAAGCAGACTAGAAGTTGGAGCAAAGGTTTTATCAGTGGATGTCAAAACCCCTCTAAAATAAATTCTCTAGGGAATAAAGTGTTATCCATTTAGAGAAGAAAAGTGTTTGTTTAAAAGTAATTGTAAATATTTATCCTGTTAATTCTGAGTGTAATGCTGGTAGTAGGGATGCACGTGTTGATGTTGATGGGATTCCTTTAAGCTGTGTACCTATTACACATAGGTATTACACAGTACCTAGGCACACAGACCAAAATTCTGGATGCAGTGAATTCAGTGGGAATTTTGCCACTGACCTAAGAAGAGCCAGAATTGAATCCACAGTCTGTGTAGTGTGAAGTGTCGGGCCAAACAGAAAACATTTGGCTGATTCAGCTATGCAATTGTGGTAAAGTTTATAATCCTGCATATGCTGCTATGATTAATGTATTATCATAATAGCTCTAAATTAAATTAGTTAAATTATGGAGTTATAAAATAACTTGGTTCTAATTTACCTTAAGGAAAAAGGTGTGGTGTGCTTCAGTCTATCAGGATTGCTTCTTATAAATGTTTTCTAAAGTATCATATCATACTGAATTCACGTTTAAGTAATTACTGCAACAACACAGAACACTGAAGTACACTGAAGCCCATACACTGCATCCTTTCAACTGTCATTTAAAAATAAGCACTCTATTGTATTGCTTTTGCAAAGTGAACTAGACTTAGTCACCAGATCATTTACTAAACTTTGACAGCTCCAAATGTAAGGTATAAATGAAATTAGAGTAATTTTCATGTCCTTAGTACTGATTGTGTGCTATAGGGAAATATTTGGGGTGAAAACCAAAAATGTGATATTACTTTAGTATGCTTAGAATATTTTCAAAGTTGCGGAAACACTCTCTTTTCCAAGAATGGGCTTTTAAGTAAATTTCAGCTTTTGTAAGCAGTGTTGCTAAATTCATCATGCAGGAACAGAGAACTTACTTAGAATGTTTAAGCTAAAGCATTAGAGGGGTTATAAGTGGGATATAGCTAAAAGTAAAATTGTGGTATATGAACTGCCAACGATTTTTAACTAGCAAACAGACTGACGCTTTTGGCTCATTTATACCTGCTTGCATTCAGTTATCAAAGTGAGATGGGAACTGTTCACAAGAGAGCTGTATGAAATACTTTGAAATTTGGGAAGTAATATTTCTTGGGAAGTAATATTTCTTCCTAATCTCTCTTTTTGCTGCAAAGCCATTTCAATGGGCTGCCATCCTGCCTTGGTAAAAAGTGTCATAGCTCTGTGGATCTCAACAGCACTGTTATGATTGACACCATCTGAAGACCATGCACAATATTTCTGTGTGTGTTTGGATTAAGATATGTTTATTTGGGCATCACTTAAGGATCTAAACTGGCAGGGTGCATATTGAGTTGCAGCTGAGCAAACCTGCCATTTAACTGAGTCAAGTTACAAATATTTTCCAGCTTTAACATTCTTCTCACCTTTTACATGAGGACTTATGGAGACTTTATTTTATACCTTTCTAATATTTGAAAATGCAAATATTAAAATTTCCTTGTGATCTCATGTGTAAAAGTTCTTGTTTTACAGGTTTTTGTTTTCATACCATATAAAGCAATATAAAGCAGAACTAGCATTTCCACCCATTGTGATCTATACAGTAAGTGAAGTCTTGTCAAGATTCCAGCAAAAAGTTCAAGATCCTGTTGAGATGATGAATATTAAGAGTCTTGTAAAAAGTCCATTTTTAAATTATTTAATGTTGGGTTATCATTGGCAACTTACCTGTAAAATTTCCAAAGGACTTGAAAACTGACAGCTGCAGCCAGAATTCTGTTACAGATTCTCTTTAGGCAGAAGATGTTAAGAAGTAACCTAACAAAACAATATGTAAATAAAGTTATATTTTAGTGTACTGCCTGAGAAAACTTTGAAATATTTGTATGAGACAACCTCCTCCCTTGAGGAGTAGATACGGAAAGATTGTGACTAAAAGCTGTGAAACAGAAATAAGTTTTAAAATTACTTGATGCCACCAGAAATGACTTCTGGAGAGAAAGCAATGTTTTATATCCCTTTTAAAGCTATGTGAATGTTAGTATAAAAACACCAGGGTAAAACAGCACAAATAAATGGTGCTGGCTGTGTGTATAGGAGTGTGTGTGTCCACATAGGTAACATTTTAGACAGAAAACAATTACTTTCAATTTATTTGATTTTTTTTAAAAGGAGCTCACAAAATGTGCCATATTTAGATTGGCAAGTGCAAGTCCTCTGTGCTTTAGCCAGCACAATGAAATCAGTTGGTTTTATGCCAATATGTTGAATTATACCCAGGTAGGCTGGATAAAGGAATATGGGCTCTAACAACACAGACCACTTTTTACCTGGATCTGCTGACTAATTTTAGTCTTCACTTATCTAGAGTTGTCACAGAATAAGACAAAAACTCTTGTCATATCTGTTTGGTGTAAAGGAAATGTTGTAGTGTGGAAAGGGTAGAAGTCAATGTATTATTGCTGCAGAGACATGGTCTCTTCCAACTGTGTTGAACTGCTGGGAGAATGGAGAGAGGAAAAAAACCCTACAAACCTCTTCATAATTCTCCTCTTGAATAAGCTTAGTTGTATGCAAATATGCAAACATCCAGGTTGCTCCTGGACTGGATTAATGCCACAGTTAACAGTAAGGAAATTAAATTTTCTTCAGCTTTCCACTTTCAGATATTCTCATATTTTTACTTTTCTTCTTGAAATATTCAAGAATGTGCTTCAGTATTTTCTGTTGGCTTTTCCTTTTCTTCCTTCTCTTTCTCCTGGGAAATAATGTTGTTGGTCGTGTTGAGGTAGTCATAACCAAATCTTCTGTTTTGCCAGAGGCACAGTTCTCTCACCTCACTTTTGACATGTGCCTTATTGTAGCATTTGTGAAAACAAATGTCTGAAATTAATGTAGACTTTATACATATATATGTATATATGTAAGTATATGTACATGCTTAATATAAAGGAATAGAAGTTGTCTTCTTGGAGCAAGTAAACATCTTTTCTGTTATCAGCTGCAATAATCTGCAGGTAGGTTTTAAATATTGAAACGTTCTCCTAGCCTATATGTTCAGAATGTGTGAACATTGATGTTATTTCTGTTTACATCTGCTGACACTGTTGCCTCAGCCACTTTTGGGGTCTCCTTAGTAAGGTAGTGTTTTTACTGTGTAATGCAGACCTTGCTCTGAAGGCAAGGCTTTCCAAACAAATGGATGGGTAAGGAAGGGTTTTGGCCTGGAGAACAAGAGGGGTTGGTTTACCAAACACATTTTAGTTTGATTAGCCTTTCACTTTTTCCTTTGATGTAAGTGCTAGCTAGCTGTTACCTCTTTCTGTGGTTGTTTCTGTTTGTTTGTAAAAAACTATTTGCTTGTTTCTTCTGTTTTGTTTTTCAAATTAATTCCCTTTAAGAAAGGTAATACCCTAGTGGATGCCTAGTTCATAGAAGAGGATATTTATGATACTGATAAAACCTAGCGTTATAGCTTCCTCAATTAGAGATAAGTAATCATAGCTAAAAATTCACAGATTGTTCTACATTTTAATTTATGATAGAATGAAAAACCCACCACCTAGATCTTAGATGCAGACTCCAAATACAGTTTTCTGATATTTATTTAAATCTAATTTTGGCACAGAAATGTAGTTGAGAAACCAAAGGCTTCCCTTCCATTTCATAACCAGATATATTTTTCTGACTTTTATTTTTTTATGGAATATTTGTG